CAGTTAAATTATTATTTTAGAAAAACATGAAACTTAAAATCTAATATCTTTACTGGCAGAGCATTTTTGTCCATAATCTAACATAAATATAAAATAGCCTATTCAGTTCCCATTAGAAGATATGACCAAACTAGACTTTGCAAGCTTCATTTCTGAAGCTCCATTTTCAATATTTATGAAAAAACTGTATCTTACTCCCCAGGACTACAAAAATGCTCGACAATTATGAAGTTGCACAATATAAGCCCTTGAAGAACTAGACCAATGATGTTAGAAAACAAAAAAGATGTTCACAAATTCAACATTGTTAACATGCAACATTAATGAAAATCATTTAAATATCTACTGGGGAATGAACATGTAGATACACTTTCAAATACTACATGTTACTGTCAAGAAAATGAGTGACCTTTGAACTTCTGCCAAAAGTCATTTGAGAACAAAGAGGGTTTTAAGGGACTCACATCAGAAAGACAGAAAGAAATGACACCTTTAAACAAATTAACACTACTCTCATATATAGCAAAAGAGTCCCTTTCCTCAAATTCTTTCAAGGCAATAGAAAGATAATCATAGCAGGCACTAATCCAAAACTCTGATAACTTCTCTATCTCACTAATAATGTGGCCACTGAAATAATTACTTGACACAATGAAACGCTGGTTAAATCCAACCGTCTGACAATTGCATTCCTACACTGAGAAGCTAAATGCAGCAGAGAGAGAGAAACACACACCCGTGACGCCTGGCTTCACTTTGATGCATGGCTGGATCTTAGCTGGGTCCTTGGTACTGCCTGGCAATGCTGAGACAGGAAGGAAGGGGGCAGGGCACAGCCACTAAAGGAATGACACAGCAGTTAGCACCAAGATGGCACAAAATTCAACTCCCAGCAGACTTGAACCCCAGGATGGTGGGACATTTGACTTGCAGCAGACCTTGAGCTTCATTATACGTTCATTGTAACATATTAACATGGTAAGTAGCATTCCCACAGGTGCCATGACAGTCCTGAGGCTAACCATCAAAGGTCAAAAAGTGGGTGGTGGCCCGATTCATGGGAATCCCAGCCCCTTCCCCAAAGTAGCTGGAATAATCCTCCCACTGGTTAGCATACGAAATAACCAAGCCCTTAAAAACTAACAACCCCCACACCTCATGGCCACTTCCCCTTCTGAGACAGACTACATCGTGTCTATGGAGTGTGTATCTATTTTACTTTAAACTAAACACCCACCCCCACGCCTCACGACCTCTCTGGCCTTCTGAGATGGCCTATACTGAGTCTGTGGAGTGTGCATCTCTCTGAATAAACCTGCTTTTACTCTACTATGGCTCGTTCTTGAATTCTTTCCTGCGCGAAGCCAAAGACCCTCACTTGGTGGGGCGTGCCCCAGGGACTCAACCAAGACCTGGGACATGGCCATCCTCTCGTGCCCCATTTTCCTGTATCAATGCTACCACACTCTCCAGTTGACTCACTCTCCTCAGCTGGATGGCAATTCCACATTCTCTCCTCTCATCTCAAACATGAAGCACCTAACCCCTCATCGCTTTCAGCTACTGAGAAAAAATAAAATCATCAGAAGAAAGCTCCCAAGTGTGTCCCTTCGACCCATCTACATGGATCTATTTCCACACACTCGACCTTCCCTCCTGTTATTATGAATAAATAGTCCCAGCTCCTACTGAAGCTCACACAACCCGTTACCATTCCCTTCCACTTGATCAAACAAATGACTCCAGCACTCTCTCTTAAATCCACAGCTCCCTCTCTACTGCATGATTCCCATCATAATGGAAACATGCTGTCCTTCCTGCATTAAAAAAAAACCTTGACCCCATATTTCTCTCTAACGACAGCCCCATTTCTCTACTCCCTTTTATCACAAAGGACTTCAAAACAGTGGTCTATATTTCTTGTCTCTAATTCCTCTCTCCCTGTTTTCCTTGAACTCACTCCAAACAAGCTTTTGCTCTTATGTTCCACCAAAACCACTCTCGTCAGGGTTACCAGTAACCTTCACATAGCTTAATGCAATGTCAATTCTCTGAAGTCATCTTACACAACTCATATCTGCAGAATCTGACACAGCTCACCACACCCTCTTCCCTGAAACACCTTCCTCACCTGGGTTCCAGAGTACTATGCTCTCTTGTTTTTGCTTCAGTCTCATTAATTATGCTCTCTCTGTTGCCTTTCCTGGTTACTCCTGTGTCTTGACCCCTTAACGGTGGAGGATCCCAGGGCTCAGTCCTTGAACCTCTTCTCTTTTTCTCTTTTCTATCTCTGCTCTTTCCCTAAGGAATCTCACCCAATCTTGGCTTTAAACACCATTTATTCACTGATGACTCTCTAAATTATGTTTCAGGCCACTCCCTGAACTCTCAACCCTTGTATCTCTAACTGCTTGCTTACATTTTCATTTGGATGTGTAATAGGCATCTTAACATGCCCCAGAAAAAAAAAAACACCAAAAACTCTTGATCTTATCAATATGGCTGACATTACAAGTGTTTGTCAATGTCCAGGTCTCCTCTCCCTCAGGGCACATGAATGACAACACATGGTGAGGCCACACAACCTGCTGTGGCCAATTTAATGTGAGCAGAAGTGCCAGGTATCATTTCTAGGCTGTACAACAAAAAGCACACTTGTGATTCTCCAATCTCTCTCTTTCCCTGCCGTGGCAACTGAAAATGCCTTGTGTTCCATCCAGATGGTGTACCTTCAAGACATGGAGACTCCACCAACCAGGCTTCCTTAGCGATGGCAAAGACCCTCCCACTGAACCACACGGGACAGGTACCACTAGCAGGCAATAAACCTTTATGCTAAACAAACACTGAGATTTTGGGGTTCTTAGTTATCACAGTATAGCCTTGCCCACCAAGACTAAACACCCCCAAACCTGCTCTCATGTAGTCCTCTTTTCTATCTCAGCAAACGCCATCTTTTCAGTTGTTCAGTCAAAAACCCTTAAGTCTTTCTTTCTCTCACATCCCACATCCGATTCAGCAGCACATCCTTGCCTTCAAAATATGTACAGAATCCAACCACCTTTTATTTCCTCTACTATCATCCTGCTCTTCAAAAGACACTGGTAACAAAATGAGAAGACAAACCACAGACTTGGAGAAATATTTACAAAGCATATATATATATGATGAAGGGCTTGTATCCAGTACATACAAAACTCTCAAGGTTCATCAGTAACAAAACAAAACACCCAATTTTTAAAAAAGCAAAATTTTAATAGACATTTCCCCAGAAAGACATGGATACTAAATAAGCACATGAAAAGATACTCATGTTCACCATTACTAGTCACTGGGGAATGCAAATTAAATTAAAAACACAATGAGATATCGCTACGCACATATCAGAATGGCTAAAATTTAAAAGAATGACACAACCATGCGATGTGGAACACTGGAATTCTCATATGCTGATGTTTAAAATGTAAAATGGTACAACCACTTTGGAAAATACTTGGGCAATTTCTTAAAAAGTTAAACATACACCAGTGGTAAAGAGAAGAGTGTTTGTATATTGATAGGCATGGTCCACTCCAGAAGCTATTTATAGATGATTTATATTTATTGGTGATTCTTCCCTTGGTTGAAAGGTCCTAAAACACACACCTATTAGATAATCCAGCCATTTCACTACTAAGTATTCCCAAGAGAAATGAAAGTATATGTCCACTTAGAGATTTGTACACAATGTCCATAGCCCAAAAGCGGAAACTGCCCAAATGTCCACCAACAAGTGAATGGATAATCAAATTTTGGCAAATCCATACAAGATACTACTATTCAGCAATAAAAAGGACTGAATTATTGATACACACAACAGGTGAATCTCAAAATAATCATGCTGAGTAAAAGAAGACAGAAATGAAAAAAAAAAAAACAGAGTACATGCTCCATGATTCTATCATACAAAACTTTAGAAAATGTAAACTAACCGATAGTGACAGAAAACAGGTCAGTGGTTGCCTGGGGAAGAGGGACGCTAAGACAGCAGAGAGGGATGACAAAGGCATACAAGGAACCTTTTGAGGGTTATGGATAAGCTCACTGTCTCAATCATGGTGATGGTTTCACAGGTACACACATATGTCAAAATGCTAAGTTGCTGAAATTTGTCCAGTTTTTGTATGTCGATGATATGTCAATAAACCTTTTTTAAAAAAGAACATAGCAGGTGCTGAATAAACATTTTTGGAATGAATAAAATGAATGATGATGAAAATAGATGTGAAGAAAGCAAAATCCTGAGAATGAATTGCAGTCAGAAACCCTTGTATCTTCCCTCATCCAGCAGTATTCTTTTCTGAATGATGGCATATTAGTAGAAAAGGAGGAATAAGCTACTACAAAGCAGAGTCCAAAGTTTTAGGGCTTTTCGGCCAAGAACCACCTACAAGCAGCTCCTGAAATAGACAACCGCTATCTCGAATACACAAGCATTTTTCTTTTGCCACAGTCCCCTAGCAGTTGGATAATTTCTTTGAACTTATCTTAGAAATCTGGCCTCATTTCTCCTTTTTTATCACTTGAAGATCACTTGCCATTAAACTTATACTGACCCTTTTTCCATGAACGTAGTCTGCCCTAAATTCTTTTAAGAACAAAGGAATGGCCATAGCGGGTGTCCTCTCAGTTCATGTGTCTTGGATGTAAAAGTCCTTTTCTTTGGATTCCTTGTCCTCTGTCTCCTAATTTCCCACTGAGATAGAAAAATCATCATCTCTATTTCATTTTACCTCCCTTGCTCTTCTCTTTGAAATCCTAAATTCCACTCATTATCATCTGTTTTAGCATCATCCTAATACATGAGGCCACCCACTTCTATCATAAGCTGCTATAGTTATGCATTTTTGTGACATGACTCCTTAGACATAAATAAAAGAAAATAAATAAAATAAAATGAAATAAAATGAAACAAAATAAAATATAAAAGCAAAGCACTCATTTATAGCCCCATGACTCACCTCATTTCCACCAACCGCCTTGGTTAAAATCACTGCAGAGGACACAGGGGGAGGCATGCAACCTACTGTCTGCAAACTGAAAAACAAAAGAAAAAGCAATTATAAGTAGGTTTTTTTTTCAGTTATAAATAGTTTTTGCTACATTCATTTTAAAAGAGCAGAGCTGAGTAACTGTAAACAGGAGTCTGTTTATTGACACACATACTTGTTGAGATGAGACAACTCTGTTGAGGCAACATGGCTTAGCAGATGATACAAATGTGTGGGCAAGTTCTCACTCCATTCCATGGGCCTGGGTGTTTTCATTTCTCAAATTACTTAAACACTCGCACAATTCAAAAAACAATCAAGTTACAGTGAATGTGGTCATTGAAAGATAATCAAAATAGTAAATCATTTGGGGAGCATATATAATCTTAGTTATTATCAAGTATCTTTCCCTTCCATTTTTTTTTTTTGTAGGAAGGCTTTTGGAAAAATAAAACTTTAAAACCTCTTCCAAAGTTCAAAAGTATTTAACAAATCACAAGCTTGTATTTGCTGATTCCTTCCAGTGAAACAGCAATTCTCAAACTTGCATCTCATAGGAGACATTTTCGTATTGCTGTAGTATCATTACAAAAATAGGCATGACACAATTATACACAACTTGGATTCAGAACCTGTAGTAAATTCTAAATTTGATTTTTATTAAAGTATGTGTACACTCCCCAGATCATGACAAGGAGTCTATACTCTTAGTTTAGAATAGAAAATACATTGCATGATAAGCAAGTGAAATTATGAATAGTAAATCCAAGTAGTTACAGTAAAAACAACTTACTCGACATTTATACATTCTAGGGACAGTGAGTGGCTGACCCACCTAAAGTGGAAAGTTCACACAGGACTCAAGGACACAGAGTATCTGGCTAGTATTTTGAATGTAGGCTCACAAGTGATTTTTATTCAATTTTGTAATAATGTATTGTCTAATCTTCATGCAATGAATTTATATTAGTTCTCAAATACAAGTTTTAATTAATCTTGACTGACAACTTAAGAAAAAACCTTAAATGGAATTTCCAGCTCAGCTCACTTCAGTGTGATCTTTTAAGGTTGATTTTCCCAAGTGATCTGTAAAGCAGTCTGTCCAAATATGAATTCCCAGTCTCAGAGCCTTCCTGGTCATCTCACCATCAACAGCACTAATACTTACTAAGTATTTATCGTTTGTTGTAGACACTGTCCTAGACACTTTACTACTTATTCTTCACAAGTCTTTAAGATAAATACTATTATTATTCTCATTTTTCTGAAAACTAAAGAAAGGAGTTCAATAATAGAACTGAATTCACAAAGCCATCTATGCAGGGTTAAACGTTTATTCTGGAATCCAGGGACAAAGACTGACCGAAGCCGCCTCCTCCAGCCTCCCTGCCTTCTCTCTTCCCTACCACCAATACCAGGAACAGGTCCTCTTAGGTATTTTCTACCCTTCTAGCATTTTCAGTCTTTCCCTCATTTCTGGTCCCTTCCCTTCTATGTACAAAGGAGCGTTCTCTCTAACCTACACATTGAAAAAAAATCACTAACCTATACACTGAATACATATGCTTTCTATAGGGAGGATACTACACAAGGGTATAAAAAAAAGAACAAGATGTCATTCCTGACTTCAAGGAGGCAGAACATTCAACAAACAAATGTAGGTAACTAACCTCGAAATTAGTACTGTTGCCTCCTCAAGATGTAATCCGACTTTTTTCATCATGGCTCATTGTTGTGCCCCACCTCCATGACATTACAGCTCATTCTCCCTTTGCTCCCCTGGAATCTGACTACGCCCCTTCTAGTAAAAGCAGCAAACTTATAAGTGACCAGTGATCTCCTAATCACCAAATCCAACATCCTTTTCCCTATATTCATTCCCCTGACCCATCTGCTTCTCAAAGCACTGTTTCCTTGTTTGCCATAACATGTCGTCATTCTAATTTATCTCCTGTCTTTTAAACCAGGCCATTCTAGTTTTTTGCTGGCGACTCTTGTCTTCTTCTTAATCTTACTTTCCAATCTGAATCTATCAGAATACTTACAAATTAACATCTCTAGCCCTAACTGCCATTCCCAAATGTGTAGCTGCCTATGACTACCGCGTCACATTAAATACATCTAATTTTGAATCTATATATTTTCTAAAAAATCCATTTTGCCTCTCAATTAACCTACTTTTATCAATGGGACATTTTTTTTCCCCTAATGGTGCAGTTTGAAACTTTGGAGTTCAGTGTGGCTTCACCTACTCCTCATAAACCAATCAATCACCACAACCAACTTTCCATGCTTTTCCACGACTGTGGCCATCATCCCTCTTCAGATGCTTTTCACCCAAGTCTAGACATTTCCAAACACCTCCTGAATGGTCTCTATACCTCCGCTCTTTCCCTTTAACACATCAAGGTAAAAAGTATGTGCTCAGAATTTATTTCGGTGACTTAAACAGAATCCTAATGTAGGAGTCTGCAGCTCCCACAAGCTAACATACTAAGTGTGTATTCTCAAACTGAGGAGGGGAAGGGAGAAAAAGTGAGTGAGGTAGTCTACTTTTGTGCGCCTTTAAGTTTAATATCCTGAGGTGAGAACTGTGTGCTTTTCAGCATACTGAGATTACAAGCTCTACTCTATACTCAGTATAATGCTACCAGATAATCTCCTTAATGACCACTTTTAAGCATATCATCTTCTTGCTTAGCACATTTAAGAACCCTCCATTATCTACAGATTCAAACTCAAACTCCTCAACCCAGTAGTTCCGATCTTCTGCAACTCTGGCCTTTTCAGGAAGTTTTTTATCTTTGTCTCGCACTAATGCCTCATTTTTTCAATCTTCTGCTTTAGGAGTACACAACCCCTGCTGAATCTCCTACCTTTTAACTGATCACAACACACATCTAACAAATCACATGCTGCCCCATTTTGATCGGTTGCTATACACATCCAACTAAATTGGAAGCTCTCTGAATACAAGGAAAATGAGTTAATATCTTCCTATTTCCTGAGTGCTCCATATGGGGCAGATACTCGGTAAATACTGGCTCTTAATACACGTCATACATTGTTGCTCTACAATGATGTCATCATATTTATGTGGCATTTCATGTTTTCTGGTGAAATTTTATGTTCATTCTCTCCAACCCAAACTGGCCAAAACAGCACTCTCTATTTCCCCCACCTCGTCCTAACCTATTTTTCTCCAGCTAAGGAAACGGAGCCACCAGTTACCCAGTGACTCATACCCCAAATCCAGAAATCATCCTTGACTCCTCCCTGCTCTTCTCTTTCTCTACGTCCTATCCACCCATGGGTTCTGAGAGCTCTAAATTTAAAATATATCCTAAAAAAATAAAGAAAACAAAACAAAACAAAACACATCCTCCAAACACCATCTCTCTGTTGCACTGCTACCTTACGACACTAGCCTCCAAGCTGGTGCCTCAGCTTTCTCTCAGGCCCTTCTCCTGTCTAGTCTCCACACACGAGCTAGAAGAATCATCTGCAAACAGAAATCAGACCACATACTCTTTCATTTAAATCCCTCCAGTAGCTTCCTGCAGCTCTCAGAATAAAATCTGAATGATTTACCATAGCCTACAAGGCTCTGCATGACCTGGCTCCCGCCTACCTTCAACTCCAACTCATATTATTCGTCCTCTAATCATCAGGCTGTGGCCATCACTGTCATTTTCCTGGTGCTAGAACACAGCAGGCTTGTCCCAGCCCTTACACACTCTGTTTCCTTTGCCTAGAACATTCTGTCCCCAGAATACTGCAATCTAAATTAATCACCAGCCTACCCTCCCAACCACTTTTAGCCAGATCATACAGTTTTATTTCACATCACTTATCTCTATCTGGATTATCTATCTACCCGTTTATTGACAGCCACACCTAGAGTCTCCTTGGCATGCAAAGCTAACTGACATTTGCCAGTTTGTTCACTGCTGTTTCTCCAATATCTATAATAACTCCTGGCATATGGTAGGAATTAAACAGATGATTTGAATAAATGAATGAGTAAGTGGTCTCAGTTAATACCCCCAACATTGTTATTAAGCAGGCAGTAAAAGTATGATTATCCTCATTTTATAAACAGGGAAATTGAGGTTCAAGACTGTTAAACAACTCCTCCAAGTCACATAGCAAGTTAGGGACAGGATCAGAATGCAGTCTTTAGGCTTTAAGTTCAGTGTTTCTAGCTGTTCTCCTATAATGCCAAAATGTGGTTAGTTTTAAACTACTTCAAAATAATTTTTTAAAACCATTAAATCCTTTTAACAAACATGGCAACATTTTCAGTTGGAGAAAAGATTCTAATAAAAATCTATTGTTAATTCAATTATCCTATCAAACATAAAACAGAACAAGAGAAAAACTAAATGTTTGTCCCCTCTATGTATGTTTTCTTTCCTATACATTTTAAAAGCACATATTATAGTCAGCTAGTATCTGCGTACATTTGGTAAAGGCACAGGATGCAAAAGTTAAAGCGCCCAATTGACAGCCTATATTACACACATGCACACAGATCTTATATTCTCTAGTACCTTCTATTTTTCTCCCAACAGAGAATTGTCTCTCTTAAAACCTTAAGATTAGGCAAGAGGGTATATTTTAAGCTTCTGTTAAAAATTCTTTAATAAACTTCCTTGATGAAACACTATCATTTTAAAGATTAATAATAAAGTTAAAAATGTTTTTATTTCCTTATATCACATATAAACACTTTTGTATACAGTTGCCACAGAAACTATGTCACTAAAGATGCCCCATTAAAAGTGGACCCTTCAAAATATTTAAACATACCCTTTTAAAAGCCATTCATTGATGGGTGTGATTGATAAGAGCTGAAGAAAAAGCCATATTGTTGCTGGGAAGAATGCAAGTGTAAAGATCTGAATAAAAAGATGCAGTTTTAAATGCACCAAAGCACTGGTCAGCTCCTGTAAAAATGAAGGACACAAAATAACAAAGGTAAGAAAACTATTCAAAAGAGAGACTGCTTTAATTGAGATATAATTACATATAAAATTCTATTAGTTTTAGGTATACAGCATGATGATTTGATACATATGTATATTGGAAAATGATCACAATAAGTGTAGTTAATATCCATTAATTTGGAGTTATTTCATAGCTGAAATTCTTATCTATAAGCATTTGCATAAGAAACAGACTTAAAGAAAAAAAGTTACTCATGAACATTATAAATCATTTTATACAAAATTTCTGAAACATTCTAATTTCATTCAAATACAATATACTCCCACAATTCAGGTTTGTAAAATTCTGGACCAGGACTGAGCTAACTCCCTTTACACTAGTATAAATTTCAGAATTGTTGACACTGTAAACAAACGTGTATGTTTAACTCCCTGAAACAAATTCTTGTTTAAAAATTTAGCAGGAACTAGTATTTTAATTAAATATGATAATCAACCTCTATTCATTACACCAGACTTAGGAAGTGTTCAGTCTAACAAGATGTTACTAAATCTACACACAAATCATAATTTTTTAAAACTGTTTTCCCCAATGATATTCTACAACTCAAAATGGCTTTTCCCCCAACATCCACTCACTAGATTTCTTTATTAACACTTACTGAATAGCAGCTCTGTGCTATGCTCTTAGCTTGCCACTTCGTGGATGTTACCTCATTTAATTCTTACAACCACCCCATTAGGAAGATATTATTATCCCCATTTTACTGATGAGGAAATTGAGGTTGACAGTGATGCTCAGAGTCAGCACCCTTTCTGGCATGCTTTCACATCTGTGCCTGCCTGCTTCTTCCACCAGCTCACACTGCTGCCCCAGGAGGGAAATTAGCGTGAAACACAACAAACCAGGCACATATGAGTCTCAGAACTAAAAAAGGATACGCCAGTAAACTTTGGGGTTTAAATATGTACAAACTAACAAGCATCTACCTTTGAATTTCTTAGAGTTATGAGGTTATTCAGTGGAAATGAAAGAAATCCAGGAAGTAGTAGAAAACTGACATAAAACATGCAGGCAGTCATTAAAGCACAGTCAAAGATGCCAGAGATTCACTGGTTGTAAACACAACCCTGTGATGTCTGCTTCCCCCACAAGCCCCTAGTTCACATCAGTCATGAACACCACAGTCTATAGTTTAATAAGCAGTAGGTTAATGCAGACTTATTCACTGATCACCACTTTCTGTGATCTGTCTCCTCGGCTCCTACTATTCATCTCTCTTTGTGAAGACACACAGCGGTCCCAGTTTGGTCACAATGTGTCCCTAACGGCATCTATGGAACATCTGGCAATCTGGGTCTACTGCAGGGCAACTGGGAAGCACTGGGCAGACCAGAATCCACAAATAGGTCCATGGATTAGAGAACC